TGGGGGGGCCATTGGGGGCTGTGGGGGAGATTGGGCAGCAGGAAGGGTCTGCTGGGGGATCAAAGGGGCAGGTGGGGTCTACAGGGGGATTGGGGGAGCAATCGGGGTTTATAGAGGGGATCAGGGGGCAGGAAGGGTCCACAAGGAGGATTGGGAGGTTTTGAGGGGGAAGCAGGGTCTGCAGGTTGGCTCAGGGGGCATTGGAGGCTTTTTCCCCACCTATTTTTAGCCTCTCAATCCTCCTCACTCCCAAATGAACCCTCCACCCCTCCAGTGAATCAACCCTACTGGCCCTGCTTGGCCCTCTCCCCACTCTGACTTACTTCAATCAGCTCCTGGCACTGGTAAGCACTGGTAAAACTGGCACTGGGAGCAGCTTGCAAGATGGTGGTCTTTGACAGGCTTGGGGGTTGGGCTGGCTGGTCCCAGGTTGGAGGTTGTTTGTCTAGGGGAGGGGCGAGGGGCTATAGGGTTAATAATATCCCAGTGGCAGTGCAGGAGGTAGGGATCAGAGAAAACACAGCCCCAGCAGCTGGGCCTGCCCAGTCCCAGGGCTGTGCTAGGAACTGACAGAAGTTCAGTTAGATCAGTCTTTCCAGACCTGATCTAATTAAACTACCTTTGGAGGTACACTTAGCTTAAAACATGTCAGCCATTTTTAGACTGATCTAAACTTCCTGAATTTCTGTACAGTTCGCACTTAGATTCTTAGTTAGGTCAACCTAAGTGTAAGAGTTGCACTTGGGTGAACTAAGTTAGGTCAAGTGGAAATTTTTAACTCAGTCTAACCTCCCCAAATGTCTGTATCTAGTCTCCATGTCTTGATTCCAGTTTTCTAGTGATATAACTACTGTGAGCAGGACCTGTCCCTAAATGCCTCTAACTCCCATTCAAATCACTAGACCATCTACTATCAATTTTGTAATGAACAGAGAGGAAATCTTTTTTCCCTTTTCTCTGCCTCAGAAAAGGCTCTAACACAATAATGAAACTACTAGTAATACTGCACGATCATTTATTCAATTGAATGTACACAGCTGGACTTTGTACATTGCTTTGACTGACAGTGATGGAAATATTAGCTCTAGTAATGAGGAATGAAAATGCTTTGTACAAGAATACAATATGTCCCCTGCTTTAGAAGTGATTTTCAAGGTTAGGTATTTAGTGATTGCTATAAGAGCTTGTTTGCAGTTCCTTTTTGTTCTTATTGTCCTTGGAAAGATGACCTTGTTACAAAAAATGAATACAGCTCCACATATGTTCATATTTAGACATACTATAGTAAAAGGGATCTCTGTGCTCACAATGGATTTTATTTATTTAGTTTTCTATACGCCATTACTCTGCTTCCTCAGTGTCATGGCTATGGACATTCAGAATTCAAGGTAGGATTTCCCCCCAATATATAACAAGTTTATTATACATCTAGGTCATATCCAGCTCCCAATGAAATCAATGTAAGTCTTTTTCATTTACTGCAGCAAGAGGACAGTTGTATCTATATAATGAATTTAAAGCCATATTTTAAGGGTATTTAGGTGCCTAAAATGCAACTGGGTGTTAGACACTTAAGAACTTCTAAAAACCCTGCTACTAGAAAGGATGTTGTTGACTTCAAAGGCATTGGATCAGGCCTGTATAGCATCGTACAAATACAAGTTAAAAATAATTTATCAGTACATTTAGCTTCATTGCCTTTCCTCTGATTGTCTATGCTATTATAGTTAATTGCAAGAAAACTAATTTTTTTACTTATTAACGAATTAAAAGTATTTGTTGCGCAACTGAGTAATTCTTAATTTGTAGAATGTTCATAAGCAATTAATTGCAGGTACTCAGATTTCAAAGATTGAGCTATTTTAGTTATCTTTTTATTGGTCACATCATACAATATTTATTCACAGTTTTCTGAACTTTTTGAAACAGGTTGCCAGGTAAATATTCACATATTGTAAATATAAATTCCTGTTATGGAACAGAAACATTACCATGTGCCTGCGATGACTTAATACACAGATCAGAAGGCACCAGTAGCAGATACTTACAATAGGTGGGGCAAGTGACATCATAGGGCACATCCAGACTAGTGCACATATGCCTCTTGCAGCATCCCAAACCAGTTTGAGATGCTTCAAGAGGCATGCTGTGAATGAAAAAAATGTTCCCCGATATCCAGGTATCAAAAAATACCCCAAAGGAAAAAAGTGGGACAGGGCATGGTCCCAAACTATGCCCTAAGGAAACCAGGAAACCAGACATCAAGAGAGACGCTCTGATTTCTGTCCAGACTGTCTCTATGTGCTTCTGCTGCTCCAGCACATGGGACATACACCCCATGGGGCACACAAGCAGAAGTGTGGCAAGGATCAGGACCTGGGCACTGTCAGGGGTAAGTAGGGACTGTGGGGGGCGGTTGTGGGGGGAGAGGCTGTGCTTGTGTGGGGGTCTGTAGAGGGAGGTTGTATGAAGGTGGGCAGAGCTGGCCGGGGGGCATAGGTCCCCTTGCAGGGTGCACAGAACCCCCCCACACAGCAGCAGCAGCCATGGGGTGCTCAGGGCCTGATGCTGTCAGAACCCCCCTGCCCCTCCCTGTAGTGTGGTGTGGCACCGCCTGTGCTGCTTGTTGCGGGAGCGTCTTGACTCAGCATGGCGCCATGCTCCTTTCTGCAGCCCCAGGCCGCTCACAGTCACCCAGGGGCTGGCGCCACTCACAGGGACCATGTATCATGCCGGGCCAGGTCCTGCGTGCATAAGCTTTGTGCGCCACCAGGCAGGGCTGGTTCTGTGGAGGCAGGACCCGGTCTGGCATGATACATGAGCAGTGTTGGCCCCCAGGTGTCAGCGCAAGTGGCCCAGGGCTGCAGAAAGGCACATGGCTCCATGTGATGCCACAATGAGTTGAGCTGTACTCACGATATGCTGCACAGGTGGCACTGGCTCTGGGACAACTGGGGCTGTGCCATGCCTCACTGCACCACAGAGGGGCTGTGACAGCAACAAGTCCTAAGCACCCCACAGCCGCTGCTGCTGTGGGGATGAGCTGTGAGCCCTGCAGGGGGAGCTGGGGCCCTGCAGGGTGGCTGGGGCCCTGCAGGGGAGAACTGTGGGCCCTGCAGAGGGGGCTGTGGCCCTGAAGAGGGGCTGGGGCCCTGTGGGGGGGAAGTCCATGTGCTGTGTCGGGGGGCTGTGCCCTGTTGGGGGCAGGACACCATGGCTCCATGGGCTCCTGATCAGGCACCCTTCCTGAGCAGCTCCCCCCCAGAGTTGCCCCACGCCCACAGCCCCCCTGCACCTACCTACACACCGACCCGCACCCCCCCACATCCCTCCACACCCATCCACACACTGACCCACATCCCTCCACACCCATTCCCACATCCCTCCTGCAAACCCCCCATTCCCCATCACACACCCATCATGTGATAAGAAAACCAAAAGCAAACATCAAAACATAGATATTTAGAACTTATGTTATTATGATGATAGAGACACTGGTAGGCTTCCAAACTGTTTTAACATTGTAAATATAGCAATAAAACATTGCCCAGTTGATCTCTCTCCCATGGAGTCCATGGGGGCCAGGTAGACTCCCAGGTAGAGCAGTGAGCTTGAGCTACAATGGATCCCTCAGAGCGTGGGGGGGAAGTGAG